ATTTCAGACGTTTTCTGCTCGACGTTTTGGCTGGTGTTTCCCGGTCAGTGCGTGAGTGTCGGCCTTGTTCAGCTGTACTTCTCCTCCGGATGCCTTGCATCTTGGTGACCTTTGCGCCTCAGGCTGTGTCCAAAAGTGATGATGTGCTCTTCTCGAAGATGGGAGGTCTTACCGCTTCTGGACACTCAAGGCTATGGTCCACGTTCACGTGGTGATTCCTCGTCGGCGAGATCATGACGCTGCTGCTGCATGAACTCGGTGTGGAAAAGGGGTGAAAAGGTTCTACGGCTTAGGGTTCAGGCCCTTTTTCAGCACGGACTTGTAAGCTGCCAGAAACAGCCTCCAGCTATTCAGGAGAGGGCAAAGAACTCGGATGAACTCGGACTTGAGGCCCGAAACTATCAACACTAATCACCTATCTTAATACTTTCATTGAATGGAAAATCAGATGAAGAATTGATGGAAATCTTATGGAAGCTGGGATGAGATAGGGGATATTACGTAGGAGTTACCTCCCCCCCCTATACAAATCTTCAACCCCCCCACCCAAGTTAATGTAAAGCCCCAATATGCATGGTCGCCTATAGAAGAGGTTGAATGTCACGGGGTCGGGGGGAGGGCTTAGGGCGTAGGGGCTTGAGACAAGGGTGAATAAGTCCGGGTCCCACAGCCCACTGCCACTGCAGCCGCCAACCCACCCACTCCACAACCACAATAGTAAGTCCCATAACTGATACAGTACCACGTCCTACTCTCTCCTACGCCCCTTTTCGCCTCCTGCTCAGCTACGACTTCCACTGCGACTTCTACGTAGTACTGATAGGCTACCGCAAAACACCAAGGAACCCGCTTGGAGCAGCGTACACACTCCGTTGTAAAAAGATGCAAGGAAAGAAGCGAAATGGGCCAATGAGCCATGCTACGCCTGATTTGATACCCATGCCTAGACCTCACTCGTGGGATCGTTCGACCGATGCACTCTGCCGACCGCGTCCTCCGGATTCATATGTTATCGGTAGAGGGCTTCAGCTGCACACCCGAAGAAAACTGTAGTAGTAGTTTCTATGTTCTTTTCCATTATCCCTAGGGGAAGGGAGAACATTCAATATATACCCTATTATATTACATCAGAGGACATCATAGTATACTCCGAAGCAGGCTTATTCAACAACCCCTCGCCCGCTTCTCGGCCTGGGGTTGTGGGCTGTCTTGTTGGGCACGGGGCTTCACAGTAAATCTGGGGGCATGCCCTCCATCCCCAGGACAAGCACATTGACAAATGCAAGGGCTTCATGGAAAAGCAAACTGCAACCGTCATACATGGGGGTTTCCCAAAATTGGGGGTACCCTTTTGGGGGTCCCAATAATAAGCACTATAGTATTTTGGGTCTATATTGGGGTTACTTATTTTGGGAAACTACCACATAGGCACGATGGCTCCTCCAGAAAATCCAGAGCCTCCCTGTTGCTGGCCCATGCTGATCCTGAAGCCCTCTGGAGCCCCCCCATTAAAACCTGAAATCCCAAAAGACAAACCCACCTGGCCTGAGAACCCACGCATAATCTCGAGTAACCTCTACTATGTAGTGGTTTCCATTTTCCCATTATCGCTTAGGGGGAAGGGAAAACATTCAATGTATATATATATATATACATATATAGATACTATTAGAATACATTAGAGTATACTCCAAAGCAGGTTGCCCGTCCAGCTCATGTCGGTACGTCAACCTCCCGCCAGCGCGTCACACCCAGGCAGCGAGATCGACCACAAAAGGAATGGCGCTGCTGCTCCCACAGGGAGCAAGCTGGCTTCGCAAAAAAAAAACTTTACAGTGATGTTACAGATAGCCGGGACAGTTAATTCGCCTTGAACCTTGCTCAACTTAAGAAAGATCACTCCCAAAAAATTACCCTTGTCCAGCATTCCTTCAGCCACGCCCAAGTGGCAGCTGAAACAACACAACAAAAAGAACTTTCAAATGTTGGCCACAAATCCTTAATCCCAACCCCTGTTCATCCAACCCATGTGGTGAAACAAAACTGTAACCCCAAGAAAACGGATACTGCCTTTAAAACAAAAATTCTTACATAACTAAGCTCTCAATCCAGTCTGCATCCTCAACTCTACTACTCTGGTTCGAGGCTCCGCGGCTGCATGCATAAAGGGAGGTTGGCTTCCAACAAGCTGTTTGGTTTAGGGTTTAGGGTATAGGTTTTTTTTACAACCCCTCGGACTTTTGATATAGGGTTTAGGGTTTAGGGTTTAGTGTTTAGGGTTTATTGTTTAGGGTTGAGGGTTTAGGGTTTAGGCTCAAGGGTCTGAAGCTTTGCGGTGGAGGGCGGAGTCTTCCCGACAGGCCCCCTCCGTTTAGGGTGCTGATTGCCTTGTGAAACAAGTTGTGGTGGGGATCCCTTCCTTCATTGGCTACCTTGATAAGCAAAGCAAGTCTTGGAAAACAACAATCTCCTTTGATCCTCCAAATTTTCCTGTTTGCCGGCCCTGCAGTCATTAGGTATTTGCCTTAGGGGGTGAGAACAACGTCCGAAACCAAGAGGTTATGAAATTTGGGGCCAGGGAAGCATGTATAGCATCGTTGATTTCTCAGCCCCAGCCCCCCCAAAAATGAGCAATTATACGGCTGTTTTAAGGTCTCCGCTTTAGGGGTTGAGGTCGTCAAGTAAGCGTTCTCAACGGATCTGCTTCAGGGATCTAACCCGCGGCACTTGCTCGTACCTCGGCTCAAGCCTTTAACTTCAAGAAGAAGGTAAGAAGCGATCATGCCTAATGTAGACCCCTGATTAATAAACCCCCTCCCTTTAATAGGGATTTTAGTAGGGATCCTAATATATAGGCCCTTAAAAGGAGGGGGTTTATTAATCACGGGTCTACATTACCCTTTTGTAGAATGTAACTCTATTTAATGGGACATGAGCCCCTGGATGCTCTACGTGATTAAGCTATATATGAACATCTCATGGGTTCTCTACTACAGAAACCCGAAACCCAAAAACCCTACACGAGTCCCCTTCTTCCTCAATTTACGGGTGTTTAGGTAGGGGAACCTACAAAAAAAAAATATATATATATATATATTCAGTGTGTTCACGTCTAAGGCGTCCAGCTCAAGGCATCGGTCTGGCAAGGGGCTACGGTTTGGGGTTCAGGCACGGTACTACTGGTGATTAGGCTTGGGAGATCACGCATGCGCACATCGTCTTATGCAAAATGCCGCTCTGGCCTGACAGTGAAAGGCCATCTAACACTGGAATATACTGTAATAGACTATGATATACTATAACATGGTTTAATCAAATTTTGTAGACCATCTTAATATACCACCCACCTTACGCCATCCTAGGCAGCCTGCGAGGCTTCTGAGAGGCTGGGGCTGGGCTGTATCAATGCAACCAGTACTGGTTGCAGGCAGGAGGAATCCCCTAAACCCTAAACCCTAAACCGCGTCTGTTCCCATGGCTTGCCATCGACGTCGAAGGGCATAGGGGCCGCCCATAGTTGTAGTGGGCAGCCTAAGCCCTGAGTTTAAGGCTTAGGGTTCAGGATCTAGGATGAAGGATCTACCCTTCCACACGGTTACATAGGGTTTAGTCTCGAAGGCTACGTTGCCAAGACCTGACTGCCCCTTTCCGTATCATCAGTCACCGGTCTATTCCCCACCCTCAACTACCCTTGACCCCACCTCTTCAACATCACCTCGAATATGTTGAGCCTCCACTGGAGACATTCACTCTTGGCTTACATCTCCAGACCCCATATCCCCAAGCCGCAGAACGTTCAGGCTACTGGGTGTGGGGCTTCAAGTTTATAGGGCCTGAACCCTTTGGCTCCATTCAATAAAAGTTTGAAGTGCAGACCTTCAACCATTTTTGACTATGCAAGCAATAAGCTACTGTATGCGGAGCAGTAGAGGCAAAGGGAACTACCTCTAAACGGACTACCAGCAAAGCAGCCATGTACTCTGAGGCCCTACCTTTTCTGGACTAACCCCCATCAAGAAACATTTCCAAAACTGTCATTTCATCAAAATACCTAAGAAAGTGATTAGTTGGTTTAAAAACACTGCTGAATACTCTTGGCATGTTCCTCGCGCGCTGCCTTGAAATGCCTTGTCTGAGTCCGGGCAGCACAAGAGCAAGGGAGGTAAATCAGGAGGTACTGGCCCAGGTGTTGCATGGAATTAAGCCCTCACCCTACTATCAACCCCCTCCCTAACACTAAACATTCCCTACATATTACAGGAAACCACTATGGGACTATCTAAGGTTACGGGGAGAGAATTGCAACAAGCGAAACTCTTGTAGCAGTTGGGTTACAGAGTTGCGCATGTCCATGTCAAAGCCGCATGGCTAGCAGACCAGCTTGTTGAGCAGAACATGCCTGACGACCTGTTGTGGGTGATACATCTCAGCTTGAACTGCTGGCAAGTCGAAAGTGGGCACACGCACATGTATTCAGACACAGGGGCCTCTAGATACTACAATTCTTGCTACTGAGACTCCCAAAAAAGGACCCCAACAGTTGGGAACCCTGATCTGCCAACAATTACACAACCAAGCGTGGACTCCAAACTAGCTGGAACTACTGTGGGTAGGTTCTCTTGGCGGTTGAACCAAGGAAGGCTAATCCTTGCTGAAGAACGATCTAACCCAAAGGAGGATACGATCTTACTTTACGTATGCTGTGGTTTATGATACTACAACACTACTGAGATGTATCATCTTCCCTTGCTCCTTCTCATGGCTGCCACAGCTTTGTACAATCCTCGTTGGCATCCGGTTCCGTCCCAAATCCAGTAACACTGAAAGGGGCGGTGATGCGCTGTTATTCTGTGTCTCTAGGAAGCTTGGCAATGATCAGTCTTTAAGACCTTCGGTCTGGGCATCGATCCCAGTAGTTCCTAGTCAAGGCAAAAACCTCAACCCTACACCGCAACCCTGAACCGTGTGGCACAAGCCGTACACATGCTTCAGCACTGCGCTCAACCACTTCTGGGGCCACGCATCTGCTGCCTCGGGTGGAGTGATCTGAGAGGGTTGCAAGCTCAGGGCTCAGGAGGGTTTAAGGGATTAGGATTTCGGGTTAGGGTAATAGAGAATCAAATGGCAAATGAAATGGAAACTGTCATTATATAGCGATTTATACGGTTTAGGGTGGTTGTGCGTATACAACCCCGTGAGGGGTCTGAGATTTGCCCGCGCGTAGGTAGAGGTACTTCAGGTTAGGCTGGCGGGCTTGTTGTTTATAAAAGGTTTTTTTTGTAGTAGACATGGGTCGCGGGGGCGGGGTTCCAAAATAGTCCCGTGGTCTATCTCCAGGATGAAGTCATCCTTGCCATTGAAGACGATGTTGCCGGTAGTTGCTCCATCCGTAGACACATTCAGTCTCAGGGAGTGGTTGGCAAAGACTAAACTCCCAGCATCTCCCTGAAAATCCTTTCTAGTAGTCCCCTACATACTCCCCTATATAACCAGCTTTGCAGGACTTTTCACCATGGCTCAAATAATGGTCATGAACGGGAAAGCTTATCAACGCATAGAGATCCCCAGAATCCCCTGGTAATCCCCACACGCGGGTTGCCAAAGTTAAACTTAGGGATAA